GAATTGCGAATTGTAAACATCCTAGAGTGACAACCAAGACACCAATCCTAGAGTTTTACAGTTCTGTCAGAACAATACTGTGTTTTGATGAAATAAAGACAGCCAATATATATATATACAAAGATGATCAAAAGAGCAAAGGTTGGATATAATCTTTCATTCTATTTTCATTCTCTGTCTCACTCAATCACACCTTCGTTCAGCTGACGGTAGTACTCGCTCGACAAAAGAGTCTACTTGTATGAGATGCATTATTCATCACTAATAAGCGTACCTTCATCTTTGTCACTTTTCCATATTAGATCCTTCAGATCAGACAAGATTAAAAGCAAATTAACGTAGGTACATACATTGATATGACGTAAAGGAACAAGAGAACAAAACATAGTAAAATGCAGAGCAGAAGTCAACAAAGAAAACCAGAAMTATGAAAATAGAAACCAAAACGGAATTTTCGATCAGGGACTGGGATTTGGAGGATCGGAGAAGAGTAGTAATAAAAAAAGAGAGAAATAGAGATATTTCTTTTTAGAAGAGGCATAAGAATAAGAATAACAATAACAATGAGAAAGCTTACAGAACAACTATCTTGTAGTACAAAGTCTTTCTCTTTGACAGGAGAAAATCACTCCTAAATGATTTGTTTGCAKCAAGTTTGATTTTGTTTCAAAGTAAATATGTTTTGTGCTCGCACTCTCTTAAAAGGAGAAAAGTAAGAAGAATTCGAGATGAAAAATGTTATAGTATATATAATAAGATTTAATGTTATGATATCAAAAAGGAAAGAGAACTTAAAGGAATAGCACTCAATATTCAAACTTACCTCAAACTTATTAAATCCTCTGCCTAAACATGGATTTATAATCCCTAAAATCATCAAAACATAAACCAGCATCATGGCAGCACTTAGCAGTGATCAAACGAAAATKATTTCACAACTTAACACTTCCCTTTATTCTGAAAACTAATACATCAAAGCCCAATTATCCGACGTAATTTCCTTTTTTAAACGAGCAGTAATAATCATTTCTAAACAAAGCTGTTATGGAAAAGACAAACGTCATGCTGCTGTGTTTTCGGCTCATTTGGCAGGGACATTTGCTTCCGCATATTATTCCCTTTCAGGACTACTCTTCCGTTTCCTTCTTTACCTTTTTTTAGTCAAAAGTAGACAGATGACATTGATTTCAACTCAAAATATATCTGTTCAATTCAAATTCTCATTTATTTAAAAAAAAGACCAGCTGAAGAAGACAGCATTAAAAAGAAAGTATTGGCCTTCAATAATAAAACATATTGTGTAGAAAGCACACATAAAATGTGAAAGACACCGGCAAGACCCTGAAACTAGTTCGGCTGAAATTTAAAGCATTATCTATATACAAAAAGAAAACAACACACAATCTGTTACCAGACGGAGGTGACTAGACGGATATCGGCCACGTCATGATCAGTCCCCACAGTCGAAAATCATCATGCTGTTAAGCCACCGGATTTCTCTCTGCTAGTCACAAAAAATATTCCGCATAACATTCTGCTGTACAGAAAAAGACACAACTGTCGTTTGAAGCGATATATCCATGACAAATATTTTACTGACTTTACTAGACGAAAATTACAAGTCTTGATAAGTAGTTTCATTAATGACGGACGCTATTTCTGCGTTATTAACGAGCCTATGAATAGGTTGTTAGGAAGTGCAATCCTTTTAGTATTATAAACAAGCACCACAATGATTAGCCGGATTTGAATAAAGGCTAACTGAAGAGTGTTCTATTTTTAAAAAAACAGTAAGTTAGCATACCAAAAAAGAATAGCATTTCATCCTATSACATAGACTGATTCCATAAGYCGTAGTTTCCGTTCGWCRGTTTGAATTCTCACTTCAACTAGCGTCTGTCCGGGAGCAGAAAAAAAAGCAAGACAGACTGGTGCCATCAGTCTACCTCTCACAATGATTGACGAAAATCTTTTTTTTTGTTATTTCTTTCTTATAAGAGATTTTCAACAGACTGAGCAGAGCTTTTAAACATGAAATTAAAATGTGACACGAAATTCCAAGATTAAATTAAATTCCACAGATTAATTATACTTGGAGAGAAATTAATCATTTCAAAGTTTTGTCAAATTGCGTACATGTGGTCGTAATTCGCATCGCTGATTGGTCTCATTATGACAACATCTGGATTCTTACCGCTTTTTTTCTTCCGCCGATGTCCGGATTTGTCTCTGCAGAAGGTGTAAGGTAACTAGACGCTGTCTTTTGCTCAGTCGTCTAGGCCGTCAATGTATAGGGTACCACAGAGATATACTATGAAATTACTGTACAAGGAGTCCAAATGACGCCAAACTACGCTATGGTTGAAGTTCATTTTATTTAATAWAATTATACGACATCCATATTACAACCAAGCATTCGTAGAGTAGAACTCATTATTTTTGTATATCAAAACCCATCACAACTTTAGTCAGTTGTGCTATCTCCGACAACAAGATTCATCTTCTCTAYATCTTGGCTTTCGTCGAAAGACGGTCTTGGTGGCGGTGGTGGTGGCGGTGGCGGTGGCAAAGCAGGCAACAGAGGAATGAGTGTCACTGAGAGTATATAATAAATAATTCATTAATTCCCCATATGTATTACTGATATTCAAGGTCAATGATAGAAGTAGTTACCTTTGCTCTTATAGAGTTCCTTGCATTTAGCACCGCAATGTTTGTGGTAGTCGACATTTTCAGAACACGTGCAAGAGTACTGGTCGCCGTTAAGGAATCGTTTGCCAGTGCCTAGTTGTGATACACCCTGGCTGTCATGACAAGCTGCAGGATAAAAAAAATAGAAAAATGGTTTGACTTAAAGTCATCATTAATAGACCTCATCGTCTGTAACAACGGTTATCCCATTTCAACTCAAGGCGGTYATCTCGTTAGTTCGGTGTCCCTTTGGTGACGGATAAACAAGGTTCCTCTGTACTACCATTTATATTTCTTCTGAAGTTTATTGAAAACAAAGAATTATATTTCCAAGTGTGTTGAGGTGGGATAAGCATGTTAACACGAAATTTACTCAACACCAGCGATGTTATAGAACTATCAGCCATACGACACTAGATCAGAGTGGATTTCTTGTTGTTTCATAATCATCATTTACAAGATAAATGCATGTCTTTATCGAGATAAATCAGAAAATTTAATCTATATAATGAGCGTCATCATCGCCACATGAAATAAGTCTTCAGTGTTGTTGACATGAATAAAATACTACGTGGCTCAAATCGCAGAAAATGTAATTCAATTTGCAGTGCTATTGTAATGACAGYAWTTTTTTYGYGCTTTCGCTTGGTTTTGGGAAGGATATCTTTATTCTCAAGAAATATATGTTATACTGAGGACTGGGAGGWGCGCGGCAGTTGGAAGCTGATTTAGGTTTTCGCGTCCGATCTAGCCCCAGACTACCCTTCAACCTCGTTCAAGTAGGTAATTGAACCACGCCTACCGCAAACTGGAAAGCCACATTGTCCTATAGCCATTCTTTTACACTTGTACATGGGCTGTAGGCACGGATAGAAAAACGCATGGGCCACCCCTTCCTTAGGTTTGCAATGTCGTTCACACGCAATAGGTTTTCCAGCTTCATTTCTTGATATCTTTACTGTTAGGCAGTCTAGATCTTCTGCTATAACGAGATATTAAAATCCATGAATGCGCATAACATATTTGATATAACCCTTTTTCAAAGAAAGGTAGGCTCTTTTTACACAAACGTTCTCGAAATCACTCTTAGTCCGTTGAGTACTTTGTACACAGAGAGGTAAATCAACCATATAGCTCCATTGCGACATCGGCACTTACCATTCGGTTTCACTGCTGGGACCCCCTGTAAGTCCAAAAATGGTCAAAAATTAAGATATCAGGCAAAATGATACAAAGAAACTCAAAAAATCATTTTATGAAAAAAAACATTTAACTAGTCGTGACTGGACACCGACCTGGACACCGACCTGGACACCGACTAATAATCACTTCTCTATGAATGTGAGACCTGCATCTACAATTTACTAATGCTTTTTGCGATTTCTCGTTGAAATCGGTAATCAAGATGATATACATTGGACTCGTTTATTTGTTTTTTCTTTTTTCCATGAGAGAATATATTAACAGTAAGATATCGATGAGCATGAGGAATTAAAACATTAGATTCCAGATATTAATGCTATATGTGTGAAAATTGTACTACTTTGAACATATGGCATATACTTGTGTGGAACTGAAAAAGCTGCCACTCTCCAACAACTGTGATCGAGAATCTCAACAACAAAAATATAAACCAACAAGGAAAAAAGAATTAGAAGAAAAAAGGCGATAGAAATAAAATCAGAAAGATACGAMAAACAACAAAAAATGACTAATGAAATAAAAACGATCCCCAGGAAAGAATCAAAGTAACAAAGAAAAAGATATCGATATATAACTTACCTGACATCCCAGCACGAAGCTTATCAACAACACCACAGACAACATTTGCCTTATGTTTAGTTGTAATTGCACAAATTGTTTGCTTTACATCGCAATATATATGAAATGGTCACGATTACTCTCAGGGGGGAGTACAGTACACTATTTCGAACATAGAGTTAAGTAACTTAAGTGGAGACCAGGATTGGCACCCCTGAACTCAACCCCCCCTCCTTCTTCCCCTACTAAAAGACTCCGGTCGGCCATGCAGCTGTTGATAGCTCGTTAATGATTGGATTTCTATTGAGTATTATATAAAATTTGAATATGTATTGCCTCGTTAACACATTTTGCCAGCACG